GTGCGGGCAGCCTGAGCTGCAGGGTTCTGTAGATGTGGTAAAAATAAAAAATAAGAGCTTTTTTTTTTTTGCTGACATTCAGAGTTGCCCGACTGTAAGTCGATGGTTTAAATGAATGACAGCCCCCAGAAGTTGCTGCTCGCTTTACAGTAGCTGCTGAGGGAATCCCCGAGTCATTAAACAATCCCCGGAAGTTGCTGAATATATGTCGGCTGCTCACACACTGCTCATGTTGCTAAATCGACTAATCAATGCTGCGTTCCTGCCAACAGACAAATGGCTGTCTGGGTACAAGATCAAGAAAACAAGTGCCACAAGGCAGCAGTTAATTTAGACTTTCCTGTGATAGAAACAGCTGTCCAAATAAACAACAACATTCATGCACATATAGATCTGAAGCTGTTCCTGTGCTTAAACTTTAAACTGATGTTTTCTCCGAGCAGAGATACAGAAGACGACTTCACTGTTAACGAGGCTGAATTATGAGTTAGTAACAAACTTAGAGAGCCAACAGTGTCTCAATGTGCTGCTCCCATCTGCTTTAAGCTGAATGTAGGAAATCACAGCATGAATTAAGACCCAAGTCTGTCTGATGAGCAGGACATGAGGGGACAAAATATTAGATTTGTTTTCTTGACAACACTGAATTTTGTACTGCTGTTTATAGTTTTCCGGGCACTTTGTACATTCACTTATTATTTCCACAAATTACAGATTATCAGTTTGGGTTGGGCTAAATTACTACAACTACAGTACATCAACATAAATTCTGCAACTATCGGTGATTCTTCAAATGCATCTCCTGCTGCTTGTCTGTCTTCTGTGATTGCTAAATAAATACTTTGGGGTTTTGGACTGTTTATTGGACAAAACAGGTGATATGAAGACGTACTTTGGGCCGTGGAAATCTGCGATGAGCATTTTCATATTTTCTGACTTTTTACAGATTAAACAAATTTTCAGGGTAGTGATAAGGAGATTGGAGCTACAATGATTAATCGATTAGTTGGCAAGCTATTTTATAAGTAAAAACATTTGAAAATTTGTTGGCTCCAGTTTCTACAAAGTGAGAATTTGCTGTTTTTGTCTTGTTTTACACTATAGTAAATTCAGTATCTTTGGGTTTTGAACTGTTAGTCAGACAAAACTGAGACAATTGAGAAGTTGCAGTGGGATTTTTTTTATTTATTTATTTTTTTTTAACAGTTTTGACTGAATGAGTAATTGAGAAATTTGGCATAACAAATAATTAATAACTAAAAGGTATAGTTAATAAATAAGTAAAAATATCAGCTCAGTTATAGCAGCATATCCATGGAGTAGCAGCGTTTTAATCTGTATTGTTGTGGAGGTGAACGCCTGTACATCAAAGCACAACATCTATACTATGTGAAGGTGTTTGTTCAGGTTATAGTGTTTCACATTTTAGCCACGTAAACAACATTCACACCCAGAGGACCTGGCAGCAGCGCTAACACACAGTGCGCTTATTTCTAAAAACATCACAAAATGACGCGCAACTAGTTGGTAAAGACGGCAATTTTCAAACATTGCAAAAAAAGACGGGGCCACAGTTTCCTGCAATCTTTCCTGCAGGTCTCAGTGGGTCTAATTACAGCTGTGCCAGCAAAGCCACCACCCCACCCACAACACACACACACACACACACACACACACACACACACACACACACACACCCTGGACTGCTTACTCCACCTCTCCAGGGGGCTGTTAACATCCTGAAATCATCCAGACCTCCTGCTTGTTCCTGGCCACGACATTAGTCAAGCGTTTGGGACCAGCTTTCCTCTGTCCAAGTTGAGCCTGAGTGAGATGACCGCTGGTGACTTGTAAAAACCACCGCAGTGTGTTTGTCTTTGTTGGTGATCAACCAAAATGTTAGGAGGTGTGATGTCAGCTGTCCCCCTCTGGCGACAGTCTTTACAGCTTCATGCTGAATTTTTATCATTAAAACATCAATAATAATAAAGTTATCGCAGACTAAATGTGCTAATGACTTGTATGATTACTGTAATTGAAGAAGAACCTCTGACCATTTGCGACAAAGACTCGGGGACAGAAGCACTGAGGAGGCGTGTGTTCTGATTTAATCGCTTTCTTTCTGGTGTGTCTGATGTTGTCACAGAGAAAATGTCAGCAGCTACAAACATTACAGCTGATTCCTGTTTTTAAAGTTCATGTGGACCGTGGGTGAAGATTTAAAGAAGGAGGACACACAAACCTGCGTGGCATTTAAAATAAGGCTGAGTTAAGGCTGCACTTAACCACTATTCAGGTGCTTAGCAACATAATTACACTGCCTACACTTGTTTTAGACACAAAACTGGTAAAATCAATGTGCTCAACACTGAGCGCATGTCTTAACAGGATCTCAGGTTTCTCAGCGGCTACAGACGGACTGAGGGCCAGTCTGTCTGGTGCGGCGACGCATTAGCTTACAGATATTTATATAAATTAAGTCACTATTTCTGTTGAGCTTCATCTTAAATTCCCTCGCTGTAGATTCAGAAACAAGAAGAAAGAAACAGATAATAATGTTTGTGTTCGAGACTGTTTGCCTGCACACTGAGTGCCTTATTAGATTATAATGCTTCATGTCATAGGCTTTGTGGTTTTTATCGTCCATGTTGGCACAGGGTTTTGTCTGAGTTAATAATTTACACTATGAATCTGTTTGGTGTCAGACTTGGAGCAACCTGACACAGTCTCATTTGGAGTTAAAACAAAATTTGATAATTGATCGACTGAAAATTACATAATCTTTATATCACAGGGACTTGGACTGTTGAATATGGACACATAACACATTTGAAAACGTCACCTTGGACTTAATTATCAAGCTTCCATTTTATAGACTGAATGACTAATGGAAAAAATAATGGATTGATGATGAAAACAATTGTCAGGCAGCATGATATGATGTTATCGTGATATTTAGGTCAAGATATAATATAGTGGGATTTCAAAAGTCTTTGCAATATCCCCCCCCCCCAAAATAATAATAATAATACATTTTATTTGAAGAGCACTTTTCATGGTGCTCAAAGACACTTTACATTAGTTAAAAACGATCATAAAATAGACCACAGTAAAATACACACAACATAAATGTTGTCAATGTCTGTTTTATCTAATACGATAAAGTTTTCAGTCTTTTTATCTTTTTTTATTATTGTAGTGGGCTACCAAATGTAAATTAATATTTGCAACATAAAAGACCCCCCCTTCCTCGTTACTTGCAGCTCTAGACTGAGAAATCTTGTGTCCAACGTATCACCAACACATGATCACCTTATTAACCTACAACTGCTCTATGTATGTATGAGTTGTTGAACTGTTGCTCTCTGTACCAACAACAGACAGTTTCCTTAGAAGAAGAATTCATCTCTCTGATCTACCTATTCAACTTCTGACAGTAAAACATTAGCATGGAGTGTGTTTGGCGAAAACTCATCCAGCCCTGCTGTGTCTATTTGAGGAAATGGGCCTCAGTGCAGCCATACGATACATTAGAAACAGCTTTGTTTCTCTTAATGGGAGGAGACAAACACATTAGAAGCTGGGTCCAAACTACTTTTATAATAGTCAGACGGACTCTTCTCAGGAAATGGAAGACCGAGGGGGCGCCTTCACTCCAAGAATGGGCTGCTGGGAAGAAGAGTGTTAGCACATTTGTAAAGATATCCTATATATGCTTTGGAAGATCGTCTGCACACTGTGTTCTATACTTTCTTGCTTTATGATTTGGTTTGTTTCTTGTTTTAAATATCTGTGTCTGCATATGATGGAGCTGACTTATGTTGACAATCACGGATAAGGGTGCATTGTGGTGATGATGAGTTGTGGGTTTTTTAAAGTCTCTGCATCGGCTTCCTGTGTGCTTCAGAATTGATTTTAAGATCCTTTCATTGGATTATAAAGCTCCTAATGGTCTTAGGTCCCAAAGTTGGTGAGGCATCATTTTGTAACTTTGGTCCATGTCTATGGAACAGCCTGCCTGAAGACCTGAGGGCTGCACAGAATGTGGATATTTTTAAAAGCAAACTCAAGAACTACCTTTTTAGCCAGGCTTTTAATTGAACTTTTTTTTTTTAAATGTATTATTATTGTGTATTTCTAAATCTATTTATTAATGTGCTTTTCTCGCTGGCAAATTCTTCTATTTTGTTACTTATTTATTTATTTTCACTTTGTTGGGTGATTTAAAATTGTTTTTTTATTTTAGGTCTTTAGCCTCCAGTTTTTCCCACTTTTTTTTATTTTTTTTATATTATTTATTTTTTATTATCTTATTTTACTGTTGTGAGATTTTAATGTTGTATTATTTTTTATTTAGGGGGTGGGTGTATTCTTTTATTGTTTTAATTGTGTGAAGCACTTTGGTTGCCTTCTGTTTGTATGATAAATGCTTTATGAATAAAGTTTGATTTTTAAATATTTTGTGATGCACATTGTTTTGTACTCTTAATCCAAAAAAAAAGGAAAAGCTTTGTTTCTGTGATATGATACGTTGTCAGGTCGTGTAACTTAAGTGCATACTTTCTTGTTTTTTTTTTTTTTTCTTTGAAACTGATCACATATTTCTGTGTTGATCACAGTTTATATGGCTCATCACTACTGGCAGAATTACAAGACTGATCTTTTAGTAATTAAAAACTTGTCAGTTGTTGTTAACTGGCTTTTTGATTTATAAAAAGTCGATTACACAGCTGATGTACAGAGGGTTTATTTTTAGCTCTATTTCATGTGATGTGCCACGGTCTCCTCTGCAGCACAGATAACCGCTGGGCTTTCCTCCAAAATCCTCCATTACCGCCTTAACAGACACGCACACACTCACTCTTGCACACAAAATGCCCGTCCAAATCATTATCGTCGTATTGAGTTGAGGAGAAAAAAGTGAATGAAATGCCAATGGGGTGAATGTAATTTGTGAATCAATTTGCATTAGGAGTGCTCTTGGATCATTCTGGACGCACCTGATGTGGTTAATGATGAGGCTGGAGGCGGGGATGAAGAAGTCGTCCACCCTGTCGAAGCGTCTGCCGATTGGCTGTGTGTGAACGGTGTGGTGGGAGATTCTTCCACTGGCCTGATTGATCACCTGGTGAACATTAACGAAGAAGGAGGAGGGTGTGAAACATGAACATGAGGAACAATCTCAGTGCTGCTGGTTTCTGCTCGTACTTGTTTGAAACTAGAGCAGCACTTTTAATTGACATTTTATTTTCTATGTAAATTAAAGAGTTCCATTCCCTAAAAACCAAAATCAGCTCAAACTAATCCCTCAGTATGTTGCTATCATGTTGATCTGTGTGCTGATTTGAGACACCACCCTTCGGTCTCTTCTTGCGGAAATGCTGGAACTGCACAGTGGGAGGTGATGTGTGCTGTAGTCAGTGGTGTCTAAATAATACTTGTGCATGCATGGAAGCGTGCAGACATGTGCTTGTGTGTAGGCAGGGTTTTGCTTTGATTGTGCCACAATGCACAAAGCAAATTGCCACAGACCAAACCCCGCATTATGAATTTCTGTGCAGGCGATGACAAGCAGGATTTTCAAACAAGTAAAACCACTAAAGGCTCGAGCTGAATCAAGAAGACTCTCAGAGGAAACAAAGGATTTTTTATTTATTTATTTTTTTTTATAAATTACCATTTCATTATTTATTGATTGATTCTATTTGTATCACGATCTTCACATTTGTGTAACGGTGACATTAAATGTCATAAGTATTTGGACAGAGACGCTTCTGTTGTTCTGTTCTCCACCACACTGGGTCTTCACATCCATATGAGGTAAACAGTGTGGAACTTCTAACTCTTTCATCATCCTGCTGAAAAATGAGAGGATTAAATACATAAAAGACAGTCACTGTTCACCTAACATGGATGTGACTACAGCTGCACCAACAAATGGGCCATGCCGGTGAGCTTTCTCCAGAAGATGTAAATTCTCCTTCATTAATTTGATTTAGTACCCCAGGTTTTAACAGATCTGGGAAAAACATTATTCTCCTACTGTGCACCTTGGACATGGAGCAATCTTTAAAAAGATCTAAAATCAGAAATACTTACATCCACTGATGAATTTCAGGGCATCATAAAGAATATAGTGACAGAGACATGCACTTGTTTTTCTTGAGAGGCCACTATGTTTGAATAGTTTTATTATGGATTTTTGTATTATATGTTGTATTGTTGCATTTTAAATGTGTTTTGATTGGCTGCTACCTTGGCCAGGTCTCTCATGTAAAAGAGATATTCAGTCTCAGTGGGACTTTCTGGTTAAATAAAGGTTGATTGAATAAATAAAAAATGAAATTTACCTCAGTGCCAAAAAGATTGCAGCCACTATTTCTTATTTTCAGTCCCCAGTTAAAGGGATAGTTTGGGGCAGAAAAACAGTGATTTAACATCGCTGGATACAGGAGCTGCTGGTCTACCGTTGCTTGATCGTTATGTGTTACTGTGTGACTTTGGTGAAACTGAACTAACCAATTTAAATGCCAAACTAACTGCAGCAGCTCTTGTATTCAATGAGCCAAAATTACTGTTTTTGTCAATGGAGTCAAGACTCTTGAAGACAGCATACATGTGGAACTGAAGCTGTTAATGGCTTTCCTGTTGGTTAGAGTGTCTGACGGAAAGGTAAAGTGGTGCAATTACACTCAATATGTCATATGCTTAATCTGTTTTAGATTTCTTTTTTTTTTTTTAGGTGGGATTTGTTTTTAGGCAGCTAAAATACATTTTATTGCTGACTGACCCTCATCCACAGCAGCACATTGCTTTGCTTCTGTGTCTGACTCCTGCTACTGTATGTAATACACTTACTATGAATAAGTACCTCATACAGCCCCACTAAAAAAAAATCTGTACCATCCTTTTAATGCAAACTCAAAACTTCCCCCATGTTTATCTGTTGTCTTCATAAATCTCACAAGATGTTCTTTAATGGAAATAATATTGAATATACTGAGAGTCATGTTGTTCCACTTTGTCTTTTCCCCTCCAACATTGTACTCCAACAAGCTACAGTGACTCAAACACATGCTTCACAAACAAATTAAACATGTTAGAATATACTTAGTAAAAATGTGAGGAGACCTTGACCTATACAGTACTGCATTGTGGAGTCAGATCAGTTTTTTTTTTTGAGGGCCTGAGATCATGGCTCGATAATGCATTGGAGCACGTGCAGTAGCTTGTTCGTCAGCTCAGGATGTGTGTGTTTTGTGCTACTTGGTTAGCTGCTAACTAGAGTCTGTCTCTTGGCAGTGGCTCGTCCTTTGTTTAAGCTCCGTCAGCGCCTCGAAGCAGAGCACATTTTTGCAATATTCTGAAACCTAATTTTTGTTCGTGGTGATTTTTCTAATCACTTAAATTTGGCTGGGTGGTCAGTGACACATTTTTCTGTGGTGTGAGAGACTCATTACAAATATTTATTTTTGCTTCGACTGGACTTTAAACATCTTGTGCTCTTCTCTTTACAAGTAAACGTTTAACGTGAAAAAACATCCAGAGGACTGTTGAGTACTGTTGACAGTTATCCCTGAGCATCGATTAAGTCATGCAAAGAAGAAACGACTGGGTATGAACACTTCAGTTCTGTTAAAAAGGAGCAACTTGTAGCAGTGGAGTGGTGAGTATAACGTACATTATACTACATTTACCATGTGAGCTGTTGTAGCAGGATACACATCATTCCTCTCAATGTGTTTTTTTACCCAGCTTTTGTTAGTCCATGTTGGTGTAAATGTCATCATGACATGACATTTTCAGACAAAACCCAAAATTAGTTTCAGATAACTGAGAAACACCTAAATAAAGATCATGGTCCCAAATCTTTTAAAATAAAAACTGTCATTGTTTGGAGTCTCAAATAATAATCAGACCATGTTTGTGTCCAATCAGCATCCTCACTCTCCTTGTTTTTACTTCAGATCCAATGTGCTGCAGTTCTGAGCCAAAACAACAGAAAATGTGTCACTGTCCAAATCCTTCCACACACTGCACTGTAAGTGACGACTAATTACCCCTCATTGAGCAAGACAAACAAATCAGCCGTTGAGTATCCCAGAGAGGCTGCAGTGATTAATGCCACCATCATGTCATATTGGAAAAAAGGGGCCAAACTGGACGTTTAATCGTAAGTGTTGATTATAAGGTTATTTACATTATACTGTGTGTGTGTGTGTGGCTTCTTTGTTTGGTTTAAGTTGAATAAAGTCTATAAATGTAAATAAAGCTGATTGTTGTGGTTTTTATGACCTTGTACAATTTTTAATGCTTTGTGGTCGATACTGGAGTCTATATGAAAACAAAGACACATATATGTAATAAACACAATGAGACTGATGTAATTTTATTTTTGAAAAATATATATGTTTATCTGATCTAACTCTGAAACAAGAAGTCAATTATTTGGTCATTGTTTTGATAATCAATTAATCATGTGAGTCACTTTTCAAGTTAAAACATTTGCTGCCACCAGCTTCTTAAAGGAACAATTCAGCCCCAAAATAATCATTTGTATGTCAATTACAAGGTGCCATGTTAACGCTGAATTTGTCAAGAAAACCTTTTTTTTTTCTTTTCTTTTTTTTTTTTTGCATGCCCCCACAGTGAACAAAGAATCCAGAAACTCAGAAAACTGTTTATGAATCAGAGTAGAGGGGGGCCTTTTTCACAACAGCAAAACTATATCAAAACATCCATTTACAAACTTTCATGCAACTCATGCAGTACAACCCATGTCTCATTTACCCACTCGTATGATCAGTACTTCCCAAACACAGTCTCTCTAAGGGGCCGTACACATCCGTTCAGCTTCCAAGAGCGCAGTCTTTAACCGCTTGAAAAACGCGAGGTCGGGCACTGGGCGCTAGTGGGTGCTTTTTTGTGCCAGCTTTCAAGAGCGCGGCGGCAGGCTGCGTCCGAGGTTGCTAAGCAACCTTATGGGCCATAATATACTTGCTGCAAACAATGCATACGCGACCGCATCATGGCTGCCATGCATGATCTGCATTTGTTTGACGCGTCGAACGCACATCTCAACGCGAGGTGCTGCGTGCGCGAGATGCAATATTCATATAACCACTAGAGGTGCTAGTGCGAATGCACACAGTGACCCGACTGGATGATCAGACTAGACCCTTCTTTTTCTTCTCATGAGATTCTTCACAATTTCCGGGTTATATTTCTGTTGTCTGCCCCAAGTGGTGACCGCCAGTATTGTGCATTTTGGCTGCATAGTGCTGCGTACACAACACAGACAGGCGCGTTGTGTACGCATATTTTCGATCAAGCAGCAATTATATTACGGCCCTAACAAGTACTGTTTCGTAGCCTGAAATCCTGAGTGCAGAGCTGATCCCCTCCAGGCGCTGCTTATAAGTGTGTAGGCCTATCGTCCGTGGGAGAGATGTAAAGCTCTGGGTAGCCCTGCACTAACATGATCACCTTTTCTGTATTTATCAGACTGAATATTTACAGAACTAGGGAAAGATATCTGTCAGCTGTGTTTGGTTGTTCCTTGTCACAAGACATGTTGTGTGCACTGCTGCATTCCAAAAGTTGAAATCTGTTTATCTCGGGGTGCAGCTGTCGTGCCCTGAAAATAGGTGGCATGAGGGCATCGCTCTGGTGTTTGAGCACACCTGCCAAGCATCTACATTGAAAACAATGAATTTGAGGGAGCAAAAAATGCAGCATATGTACGGCCCCTAAAACAGCAGTCTTTAAAACACTTCTGCATCAACAGCGCAGGCGCACTACTCTGTGTTTGGTAAGTACTGAGCATACGACTTGATAAATGAGACTTAGGATATAATTTGCAAGCTGTGTGAGAGTTTGTTGTTAAACACTATCGCCTCTTTTCTTTGTTTTTGGATTCTTCATTCTCTGTGGAGGCATGTGGGGAATAAATCACTATTCTTTAAAAATTCAACATAACACAGTGAGTAATTAATATACAAATGATGGTTTGCGGGGATAAAGTGTTCCTTAAAATGAAGGTCATTTCTGTTTTTATCAGTTTTATATCATAGTAAAATGAATTTCTTTGGGCTTTGAACTGTTGGTCGGTCAAATTGAGCAATCTGAAGACATCACTTTAGGCTTGGGGGAATTATGATGACCTTTCTATCAAACAAGAATCCAGAAAAATGTTTTTAATTTGACAAAGATAATAAAGGTCCTGTGAGTAGAATTTAGATGGGATATAATGATAATGTTTTCATTCAGTTTATAATCACCTGAAACTAAGAATCGTTGTGTTTTCGTTTCCTCAGAATGAGAAGTTAATATACACGTACATTTTCATGTTACACTGCCATGTTTCTACAGTAGCCCAGAATGGACAAACCAAACACTGGCTCTATACTGGATCATGTAGTGTTTTTGCTTTTCATGTCAGTCGCTGTAGATCTCCTAAACACTTGGCAGGTTTCAGCTGGTTAAAATCTGCAACCTCACCACTAGATACCACTAAATTTCACACACCGGACCTTTAAGAGGACACAAGTACATGATCTGAACAAACATGCACTGCCCCTTCGCTAACCTTGGATTAAATCCTGTCAATACTGAGTGTCTGCATCTCTGTGCTTGGATGTCTCATCATCAGACTTTTTATCAATTCACAAAGATGAAACTCTGCAGAGGAATTAGGAACATTTGCGTGTTATAAACAGTGAGTTGTGACTGACCTGCAGAGTGGGGAAGTTCTTCTCCATGTCTCCCCAGCTGAGCAGCCACACCTGGTCGTGAGATTTGTCATAGTGAAGCTTCACAGGAAAAGGGTCGGTGCTGACCGTCTGGAGAGGACACACACAATCAAATCAGACCAAAGTGAGCCTTTAAAGACAGCAGGGCCACAGAATAACAATTGAAGGCAATCTAGACTTTGCTTTTGAAGAGATCCTCCTTTGATGTGCGGCGGTAATGTTTCTGAAAAGTTTTCCTGCAGGCTAATGCATCAGGGGTTGACAGGAGCAAGTCTTCTTTTAACAAGGCAGAGTGGAGGTGTGCTTTTTATGTATAAGGTGTTTTTGGTGTTCAGCTGCATTTCAAATCAAGTGGTGACAGACACAATTGCTTTACCACACTGAAGTAATTGCTTTCAGTCTTTATCCGTTCCTTGACACACGGCGGCAATATTCCAGGTCTGAACAATAGATGAGTCGCATGTGACAGAGAAGCGCTCCTCGTGCATTATGTCCACCTGAGTGCAGATAGACAGCCAGCTCAAAGGGAATAGGGAAAGCACAGGGGAGAGGAATGCATGCAGGAGCTACAGCCTCAACAACAGCAAGAAAAAGCAATCATCTTTTTTTATTCCAGGAAAATTATTGCAACCCTGTATTCCCACAATCCCCTTTGACTGCAGCTTACTTTCTATACTATTTGTTTTTGCTATGCAGCCCTAATAGTATTGTTTACCTAGGCAAAATATATATTGTATCACTGAGAGAGCAAACAGCTCCTGAGAGGGTTATTGCAAATGAGATGAGAATATCTGTTGAATCCTAACTAATCTCTGAGCGTGTAGTCATCGGAGAAAACAGGTGTTCGTGTTGTTCTTTTTCTCTTGACTAACAACTTCTTTCTGGCTGAGGAAGATTATCAAGATCCGCAGCCAATATGTTCATGTAACTTTAGCGCCGACAGAAGATCTGTCAGAGAAGAAACGCGGAAAACATCACAGCGCCTTCTTACATTTATTTATCCGCATGCAATTTGCAATTAATTGGTTTTAAACATGCAAAAGACAATCTGCTCATTAAAAAGTCTTCACCAAGCACTTAATTGGTTACAAATTTCAAAATGCAACTTGCTCATTATTAGTACTTTCCGCATGTCAATCATATTAATAATTCAATGAGAAAATGGAAAGCTTGGAAACCAAAACTCGTGTCTCTCTTACTATTCTCGACGAGAGGCGGGTTCAGGTGCTTAATTAACAACTGCTAATATAATGCAATGAAGCTAAACCTCCAGGCGACTGAATAATGAGCTTGTGACAGTCTCTGGGACACCAACCTGCTTACTGGCAGGTCCCTGAGAGGCTGGCGAGCTGTAAACAGCCATCACGGTGTCAGAAACATCTGCAGGGATCCGAGCAACCCTGGATTAACCTGACACACCCAAAACCCCACCGGCACAGATGATTTAACTCGACGGCGCTCACTAGAAATGTGCCGAATGTTGTCATCTAAGAATTGTGCTACTTCCTGAGCCTGTCTCGCAAAAAATAAAATTCCCCCAGGAAAATAAATGGTGCTGCAAGGTGGCAGAGTGTTAAAGGGATTGCCTCTTACACCATCAGTGAGGGAAACTGCAGTTGCCACGTTACAGTATCTATGAGGGGTTGCCAGGTTACAGTATCTGTGAAGAGGTGGGTCTCGGGGTTACATGGTCCCCATATCAATGTGACGGTTAAGTGCAGGTCTCGACTGCAGCAGTATGCATGAGGTGTGTCGGGTCAGGGGTTAGCAGGTGAACTCAAGGTGAGAAAACTGATCTGAAAGCAGCACTTTAGATCATTGGTGCAGGTGGAGCAAAGCAGGTGTGACCCAATGTCACAGCTTCTGACAAGTCAGAAACCTAAAACCCATCATCACACAGAAAAATCCAACACATGTTGCACCAGATGACACAATGTCCCGTAATCATTTGTCAAACTACGGCAGGGGTTTGGATTTCAACATTTGCAAGCAAATCAAATAACACATAATTAAAACTAATTAAAAAAACCTGAGATCTGTAATGAGCTGTTGCTGGCTGAGAAGGCAGAAACAGTTTTGAGTGACAGCCTGATTAATGTTCATAACCTGTAGCTACAACCTGAAAATGAGACGAGCAGCAGAAGATATGAAATGTTGATTAAATGTAGCTGACACATTAGAACAACAGGTGTAGTTACACTGACACCTTATTTATCACAGGCTGCTTGATCCAGATACTGGAGATCCTGATTCAGAGCTCTGATGACATTTATTAATTAAACTGGCAGAACACAGGTTAAAAACTAGAATCATGTTACAGCTTTTCTAGAGTGCTCTTTGGTAAAATAGCTAAGCTTTATGGGGATTTTACAAGTCTCAAACCAGATCTAAAATGGAGCTGACTTTTGGAACCCTAACTCCTCGTTTCCATTGACGTATGTGCCTGGTGTCCATAGATCTGTAAATGTACGGATGATGCCTCTAGTGTCCAACGCAAGGAAGTGCATTTCTTTACAGATCGATAGAAACCTGATAGAAACTACCTGTAGCCATGCAGGAGAGGCTAATTTTGTCAGTTTTTTGCCATCCAGTAGTTTGGAATATGCGCTTAGAACATTACTGATGAGCTGTAATTACCACGTTTCTGAGAGCCTGGTTGCCGGGTGGAGACGTTTAACCATAGTAACCCGCACCATATTACACCTAGCAAAGGGAAATCTTATACTTACACTTAAATTTAAGAGTTACTGACATCACAGAGCTGTCAGTGTCACTGTCTGTTATGAACACTGTCTTCACAACTGCATTGCATTATGGGATATTTATGCTACAATAGTGTCCCGTGTTTGTATACTGTAATACTATAAGACTTTCTATACTGGGATCTCACCATGGATCAACCTGCCCCTGCATATTAAACAAAGGGAATTTTCAAAACAAAAGTTAAGGAGGACTTGTGGGGAAGATGGTTCACCTTTGAGATGTAAATTAAACCCCAGGAGAGGTATGAGTAGGTTCATAATGTAATTTGTTTGTTTATAATGATGTGTATGTTCTTATGTGCTGCTCTGCTGTCTCCACTGAGGACCACTTTGGAAATAAGTGTTGTTAGTAATGGTTTTAAGTGCTGTCCTCTGGGGTTTTCTTTGTTTTGATACTCCTTAGAGTTGTGCTTTTATAATTCCAAATCAAAAATATTTTGTTGGAGTATACAATACGCAGACAATTCATGTGTCATACTAAGGTTTTGGACATACTAAAAAATCTCAAAAAATCTACTGTTTTGTCGCACTAAACAGCATGCTTGTGTGGAATTTCAGCCTTCGTCATATTGTACATCTGTGACCAAACAAATAAGTGACTGTGATTTGTGTCCTGGAAATGTATCATATACGAATAAAAATAAAATAAAACCATTGTAGACTTATTTGTAACACATGCAAGAACTATTTATTCTTGTGTAAACTGTTGGTTTCTTTTGAAATCTTCGCAGGTTATGTTTTCTTACATTAAAGCCCAGTTCAGACCAAAGATACACAATGAGACGAAACTGTTTTAGAACATTGCAGAGAAAAGTTGCAGCTGTGTGAACTGACCGTCTGAGCGCAACTCAAGCTGGCTGATGGTGTCATCTGCAACTCAGCTGGTCAAACCAGTGGCGGCTGGTTTTAAAATGTAAAGTACGTCACCTGTTTGAACAGCCGATCAGCTTGTAGTGAAGTTTGCTGGTCAAGTCAAAATGACCGCAGACAGCATGTTTGCCTGCTGTGGCAGGTGCTCCGTCACCACAGAGCCCTCTGTTTACGTCCTCATGGTGTGCCGGTGACGGATGGTTGGTCGCTGCTGCTGCTCGCTGTATGTGCTTATGCCCCCTCACACACACATTCTCATGACTGATTATTTGGCGCTGCTTATTTATATTATTGTGGCGTATTCATTATGAACACAGCCCATCTGATGCTTGTTTTGTTTCATCACTGCTACAAATGCAACTGTAGCCAGTATCTCACTATCACTATCCTCATTCATATTTTAAGAAGCTACAAATTATATTCAGCCACACAATAAGCCTGAAAAGCTGCAAATCAGAACAGAAGTACAGAGAGTTGTTGCATAGAGATGATACACCGTCTCATCTAGTTGCATTGGTGTGAACCGACAGGTTTCGACAACGTTGCAGAACTGTGCATTGCAAGAAGTTGCATGTTTCAACTTGTCTCGTCGTGAATCTTCAGTCTGAACTGAGCTTTACACTTTAACTTTGCACGAACAATAATAAAGTCCCAGTGTCCTCAAACGAATACTTGCTAATTTGCAACATCCTAGCAAGTTTGTGTGCAAACTACAAACCATAAATAAACAAGTTTTAACCATAAAAAATAATCAGGTTTTGTACCTTGTCCACTTTTGTCTGGGATCAGCTGTAAAATGACATTGCTGAGATGCTCCTCATCTTATCTTTACACTAAGTTATTTTGCTACGACTAGATGACATGAAAGAAAAGTGTTCAAAAACGAGACCAACAGGTCTGAGTTAAGAAGAGTAATTAATGTGAAGCAAACCCAAAATGTCACCTCATGAGGACACAGGGTCGCAGGAGATCAGAACAGAAAGATGAGAAACGTTCTCCGAGGTCGTGATTAGAGCAGCTGTGGCTGGTGCATGGGAAAAAAGGGGGTGCTTATGATTGGCCAATTACTGGGCTTAACAACACTGTGACATCTATTAGCTTTGAGTATCTGGACGCGCCTCTGATGGACTGCAGAAAGCACACACTGAGGAAAAGTTTGCATCGTTAGGTACATTACTGACATAATGAAGTGTCCTTTAGACTCAACCACCTGTCAAACACGTCTCACACTCGGCCTCCAGCCTACGTCTGAAGCTCAGCAGGGCCAGTATCATCAGCACACCACAGCACTCACTCTTGTGTATTAGTATCCTACTAAATTATTACTCAAGTAGAATATTTGAAGTGCAGGCATAACTAATGAGCAAGCTGTTTCCAAAAAGTTCCCTATGCACGTTGGGTAAAAGTTGGAGCACGTAGTCCAGCGCCTTTAAAATAAGCTTGTTTCTTTATGAAGGACGATGTTTTGTATCAAACTGAATTCGGAGTCAAAGGGACCGATTTAATGAAAAAAAAATATGTCCTTCGTTCAACAAAATCAATCAGAAAATAGCCATATGAAGTAATGATTTATCAAAAGCTCTTTTGAAATATGTTTCCATCAATGTGGGAACTTTTTGTGGTGTAACTGTTTGAAAAAATACATCAAAGACGAGGGGGAAAAAAAACTACACTGGTCTCGTGTAACCTTCAGGTTCTTTGGCTCAGACGGAGGCACAAAGAACCTTTATTTTAACAAAAGCACCAACTAAAAATATATTTTAATTTTGTCCTCTTCTCTATGTAAGACTGTAACTCCTCCCACATCATACGCTCTTTGTAAATTGACATGAACCTGGTTTCGTAATTTATGTTGAAATCTACCTGGACAGCCTTCTGAGACTGGATGTCGACGATGAGCACTCGATCCAAGGTTGGCTGTGTCACATAAATAAACTTGTCCTTGATGTTGACCGCTGATGACCACACACACCTCTGAACCTCCTCTCCTGGTGAGGTGGGGCACACCTCCTCCTGGAAGAAAAACAAAAATACACATTGTCGGTTAACTAATTGTTTTTAATATCACAGGGAAATATGTCTCATTAAAAAACAATTATCTCCGTCCAGTCTTATCTCCTGTGCTGATGTGAGTCATGTTATCTTGGCAACGTAGATAAATGAGCTTTGCGAGGTCCTGAAAAATCTCTGTAATCGCTCCCATTTGTCCGTGCATAATCCACAGAACAAAGCCTGCAGACGATCTGCGGCTGTTCAGCTTTCAGTCCTGGCAGCTCTCGCCTTCCTGGCCAACGGGAACCTTAACCGGCCTTCTGTCTCTGTAGCTTTCCTCCCCTTCCTTCCCCCCTCGGCCCTCCAAGCCTCCAGGCTCTGCCCGGTCGTCTGTTCCAGACTCTGCGGGACGATTTAGGGAGCTATTGGCCAGCAAGGATGAATGAAGGGCTTCGGCATGGCAGGGTGAACTCTTTCTTCCATATTTACAACCGCAGAGGCAGCCCATGACAGGCGCCTTCCCACAGGCCAGCTTCTCTCGGTTAGAGGGGCATTAGGTAATGTATGAACTTCATTGAACTCTATCAGGGATGAAGGGGAGCAGCAGCATCGCTGACAGATTTTATCTCATCTGTAGTTCAGCCCTCCACTCATCCTGTCCTTTGTATTTTATCTGTAGAAAAGCAGGTTAATTTGGGCAGACATGCAACAATAACATCAAGTAGAGAGGTCGTTTCATGCAGGATGCTAAAACAATAACGCTGCTTTTGGCTTCATAACAAGGTTTTCATATCTTTGTAGTTGTACTGTCTTTCAGTGTCCAGTTGTAGCACCATCTGTCAGTGGTTTTTGATCTAAAACAGGTTGGGAGAGTCAGTTTTTAAAAGCCAGAAATGGCTGCACTTGCTGAAGTAATCGTTGAGTCACTGGTATTGAACCCTGTGAAACCCCTGCAGTCCCACACTGTGGTCATTTTGTGCTACTTGGCTGTAAAAATCTTACTTATTGCACCTTTAAGAGGTGAGAAATCGAACATCTGATGCCCAGCTGAGGGTGTGAACGGAGGCAGCTGTAATCCTCCCTGTGTTGATGTGTGTTGCATATGTCTGTCTTTGTGTGGGTGTGTAGCATGTATGTGATTTATGTAGTAACTGACAGCTTCTAAGGACTGTAGATATGTTTTTTCCCTTTATCATGGAAATGCCTTCGCCTCAGATACAGCACAGTGTATATTTTTAATGGATTCACTAAAATCTTACTGCATACGACATTATGCAGCACTGGAACCATGCCAGGAAGAATATAATACAATACTGTACTGAAGAGAATCTGTAAAAAAAAAAAATACTACTGCAAAATATTTCTAAAATGATTTCCACTCTCTCAGTGGTGAATGTGGGTGATGACATTTAAAGGGCTGTGTGGAGAAATATGAGGGTTCTGATATTCCCCAGTTAAGCTACTGGAAGATTTGCAGTGCTAATACATTTGTGACACAACATCTGAGGGGAGGAAAACTGCAGCAAACAGTGAAACAGCAACATCCAAAGTGTCAAGAGGAGGAACTTTACAGGGAGGGAGCAACACTGACTGCTGCTCACTCAGACGGTTTCTTCAACGGCTCATTTCAAACTGTTATAAATCTGCAGCATGATGAGATGTTGATATTTCAACATGTTATTTTACAAATGGTTCATATTATAACTTGAGTGGAATTTAAGGGTTGAAATTAATAACATCACATTTGAGGATGCTGATTCACCAGACAGAAAGCAACGTACATCATATATAGACCCTTTTACTGTTCGTAAACAGTATGATATTTTTGGTGGGCGGGGCTTAGCTGGACAGACATTAGATACCACTAGCTAGCAAGTTCTTTTAGCTTGTTTTAGACAGTGGAGGAAGATGATTAACGTGGTGCTAGCACGTTACCATGCCACATAAGGTAAGGTAACGTAAGGTAAGGTAAGGTCATGATGTGAGGACCGTGAAGACAGACACCTTAGCTTTCTGCTGCAGAAGAGATGAATGTTCTAACTATTATGGTTTTTATTTTAGATCTTGTTCAACAGAATCATGCAAACAAGGATCTCCTGCCAATTATTGTATGTTATAATCAGGTTTTACGTGTTTTTTTAATGATTAAAGTAGACACTAACATCCTTCTGTTATTTTTTACCCAACATACAAAGCCCTGTGTACATGGTACCACTACAGACCATAATAGCCTCTCCCCATGTTTAAATAATGAAAGAACCATTTAACAACACAGCAGCTCTCCACACAATGCTGTGGCAGCAAGAAAACATGGATGTTTCCCCTCAGCGTCTTCTCAGCTGCAGAGGGAAGAAAAATAAAGACGCTTCCTGGACTGACTTTACTACAATAGAACATCAAAGTGTTTTCCCGCTACTGTGTGTATCACAGTAAAACACTCTATAAGGTAGTTAAGGATAATGGATTGGCTGCGCAATTACCATAAACAAATCAATCAGTGCTCCTCTGCGATGGAGAAAACGTGAGCGCCATGCTGGGAGCTGCCTCGTGTGTTCAACACGGCAATCCCCCATGACAGCACTGGAACTGGCATCACAGCACTCACCGTGATTGATATCCTAATACAAACACACCTCTCAGAGGAACGCTTGGCTGATTGTTGTGCATTCATGGCATCGCTTTAAGTATAACAGCCATCCAATAAGCGCAGGGGCTCCTGGATGAAAAGAAGCTCAGAGGAAAGCGTCCATTTGAGAACACATGTAAATCTAACAGGTATCTATCAGCAAGATGCTTTGAATATTTTGCTGCTTGAAGGCTTCGGTGATTAACTGTGTTTCGGTTGGGGAGGCTGAGTGTAAAGAGTCCGCTGAGAGGTGAAACCCCCTCTGACTGCCAGCACACTAGCAGGTTCAACACTGTCAGGTCGCCCCTGGATTGTGTTTGTAGCAAGCAGAACATGTGTGACTATCAGTAACCACTCCAGAGCTGCACTAATCAACAGTTTTGTATCAACAATAGAGACATTTACTACACGTAATATAAAAGAGGATGCTCGTAATGATAGATCCAACCCTGCAGTTCTCTAATCTACAGAGCACTTTAGCACCTTTCAGATCATTATTTTGGTTTTACCAAACACAACTTTACTGTTTTGCTTCAGTCTGACCGCTGATCAGCAGCAGCTGTTTTCAGAAAAAAAAACAAAAACCCTCAGATAAACCCACTGTACAGCCAGATATTTCCCTCAGGAGTCAGCAAGGACCAAAAACAAACAGTGTTAAAAGGAGAGTGAACATTGCACATAAACACGACTCCAAATGAATGCTAATTTTGCCCTGTGTCTACTGAAACTGTTTGCTAACACACACACCATAACATCAACGTGATGTCTATATTGTGAATATTTTAAGCTGCCCTCTGTGCAGACCTTCTTTACTTCAAGCTGAAAACATCCAAAATCACTTGTTATTCTATTTTTATAATTTCATAGTGTTTTTGATGGCGGTCTGTTACTATAATTTATTTTTCTCTGTGCTCTTCATGTTATCCATCATTGCTCAGTGAAAACCAAGTATCTCCAAAATATCAACTTCTCACAAAACAAGAAAAACAGCTTTGTAAGTTTTCCAATTCATAAAGGAACTTAAAGGTCCAGTGTGTAAGATTTAGGGGGGTTTAGTAGCATCTAGCAGTGAGGATTGCAGATTGCAACCAGCTGAAACATCTCTTCCTCTCCAAAACAAACAGACCAGGTGATTAAAACCTGTAAAAACACTGAATAAAGCAGTTAGAGGAAGATGATACGAGTCTCTCAGAATAGAGTGCCTTCAGAAATATTCATTCTAAGTGGCCCTCTGGTCACTCTGTCTGTGGAGACGGAGCAGCGGTGCAGAGTGGAGTGAATGTGTGATTAACTTAACAGTTTATTAATTCATTAGAAATATAACGCTCTGTTTCTTCCACCAACAGGGCTCTCATTTGAGTGTAGAGCGTCAGACTGAACTTACAAACACAACATGTCAGATTACTCTCCGGGACCGTGAGTGTTACTTGAATAAGTAAACACTGACCAACGGGACCAGACTGGCCGACCCGTATACTCTCACTCAGTGGATTGATGATGTCACAGGAAGCCAATCTTACAAAGGAGGACGACACTTGAACGGTTTCCTCCAGTTTGTTTTGCTATCAAAGCTAATGTTAGCTAATGCGCTACGAAGTTAGCGTTCCAGAGAAATCCAATACTCCTCTTAATCCCTCCCCAGTTTCTGATGAGGTGGACATGATAACCCTTAATACACATAACGTTATTCATCCCTACAACAGGAAATACTTTTCCCCTGACCTGATATGAAGTGTGCGCTGCACATGTCAGCATTTTGATGATGGCCTCCGTCCAGTCCTTTGGTCTTACCACATTTAACAATAGCTGTCTTTGCTTTTGTTGACGGGCAGTGGCGGCAGGTATGCAATCAAATTTAAGTTTTGAGCCATGACTCCTTTTATTCTGGCTCCCAGTAACACAACAAGACATTTTAAGACTCCTATGTAGCCTACAGTCCTGTGGTAGAGAGTCATGTTTTGCCTCCAGCTAACAAACTGACGTTATTGTGACGTCGGCCCTAAAAGGGTCTATCTGGTGCAGGTGTTTGTTTTGTTCTTTCTGGGCTACTGTGAAGGACTCCTTATTATTTAGATATAAACGTCAATTCTAAGGTAATGAAACTCAACTATTCTTATTTTCTATACACTAGTGAAACATACTTACAATCTTAAATTTCATCTCTGCCAATAAATCCTCCTAAATCCTACACACTGAACCTTTAACAGAAAAATAAAATATGGAGCTAGATCGTCCTCATTAAAAGTGACCATATGTTACTTGTTATTCTATGTGTTAGGTGGTGCCTGTTTTATATCTTGGTGAGTAATTATTCCCCCTAATGAGCTATTCTTTTTTAAACTCCCAAGACTCTGGGATTTCAGTAAAAATAATGCCACCCTGCTCTGTGCTGCAAGTTATTTACAGCTTTGTCTGTTTATTTGACAGGACATAGAGATCATGCAGGTGCCCTGTATTAACAAATCATATCTGTGCAGACTCAAATCTAAGCTGCTGGTTGAAGAACGTGTCCTCTAAATTTACAAGTGCAACAGCAAAGTCTTTTCTCGAGCAGGACACTGAATCTTTACCTGCTTGGCTGCGTCTGAATAAGAATCTCAGCTTGATCCCACTACAAACTATTGATCCCTAATGATTGATTTCAGTAGCTGTTACTAGGTCAGGCAACAGGACGCTTGTCAAGGCCACAGAATAATAAATCACGAGTCACACATTAACACATTTTGCCATTCAAAAGCACAAACTCTTAGCTGTTGACTCTCAGAAGTTCACTGTTTAAAAACATTTACCTCCTAAATGTTTTAGTATTTATTGCTTGGTGATGGAGAAAGTACAGTTTTTAATTAATGTCTGCTGAGGACTCACAACACTGTTGATTATGTCCTTCTACACTTCTGTCTACTCGTCAAGCAATCGATTGATCAATGGGAGAAAACATTCAGCACATTATCTCTAAATTAACTAAACTGGAAATGGTGCACTGAGCGAACTCTACCTGGAACACAATATTGGCATACTGACTAATACAACTGTTAGCTAACAGTTGCTTAGTTACAAATACAGCAGACATGGAGCAACATCATCATTACTTTGAAGTTGTGTTTCTAGCCACCAGACAAATGTCATTCATCCTCCTTTTACCTCTGTTTGGCACTGAATTAACTCCTGATAAAAAAATAAATAAAAAAAATAAAGCTAAAGCTGCTGAATGACTTTCTTCACCAGCTAGTTGCAAACTCTCTTTATCTGCTGTTTGGTGCTGGGCACGTAGCGTAAGGTGGGTTTATCAGAGATTTTTTCTTCTGTCATGGGCTGTAAAACCAAAACAATCAGCTGAAGACACTAAAATGCTTCATAGAGATGAGAGACGAGTCCCAGGATACAACAAACAGAAAACATTACAGAGCTTAAAATTCTGCTACGTGCTCCGATAAAAAGTGAACGAAAGCTAAAGCTTGTGATTTTTAAAAACCTGATTAAACATTAAGCTGTTTTAATCAGTTTACTTTCATATTTTGGGTAACTGTTTTATGAATTGACTGCAGCACTCAAAACAAACCTGTAACTGGATTCCTCTCCGTAGCAATAACAGATCATGGGTATGTACCAAACCGAAACACACTGATTTAGAACGGGAGTTGAAATGATAAAGATTGGTGACCGAAATTAAACATACATCATCATTAAATTATCCTGGAGACTGCTGTGTTTTCCATGTTGAGTAACACTGAGGATGATATCAGCATGAATCACTATAAAAGTGAGTCTCTGTGTCTTCTGCGTAATCACTCACCTTCAGAGCCAGCAGCTTCTCACTGGGCTTAATGTGTCGTTGTATCTCACACGCCACAGGCTGGATGACTTTAATACCGTCTTCATAGAACACGTAGAACATGTTGCCGATGCCGAGCCCTAAAAAGAAAGCACAAGCAGCCTTGTTACACACAGTACATACCTAAAATAGCTTATGAGACTGCACAGTGTGAGCATTTGAGACAGAAATAAGCCGACAACATTGTTATCTACTTTCAAAGCATCAAATCATTTAATCCCTCTCATCACAGTTCAGTAACCCTATTACAAAAATTCAATTAGCTCAGTTTAATGAATGCTATAGTGGAGCAGAAGCAGTCTAGACATACCTTCTTCTCGCCACAAAATGTTTGCCACTGTGAGGGAGAAAAAGAGGAAAGCACGATTGAAAATCGATGTGACAATCAATGGGGTCCCTTTGTGAGAGCTAACACCCAAACACTAACTCCTATTGAGGCAAAGAGGAAAGCAGGCCGCATGAAAGTTTTATGGAAACTGTCTCTCTGACACCTAGTGCAACAAACAATCGATAGAGCCCTCTGCTTGGAAATAATTTGATACCAAACACTGGAAAATGGAGTGCAGTCAACAAACTACAAGTACTGTAAAACAGATTATGATTTTTGGATGCTGCGACCTGAGTACGTGCAGAGATGTGAAATAAAAAATAATATCTGAGACATCAGATCATCATCCATCAGTATGAGCTGTATGGATAAGCTGCCTTAGACACCCATGAGTAGTCCACAGGTTTCAGGCTCTGATGATTATCATAAGTCATTAAGAGGGATTAGTGTGCTCTTTTTTCAGTGGCAAAACCAGTTTCGGCTTCTATAACAGGTAATTTCTCATTAAATTCACTTAGAGTTAACTAATGATGTGAAATGTCGAATGAAAGCCACATAACACCCTGAGTGCTTTAATGGGCGACCTAAAGCGCAGACCAGCTGTTGGCTTTCAAAGCAGCCACTGGGCACTGAGAGAAAAGATGGCTTTACTTAAAATTACACAACTCAAGAGTGATGTGGTAAGGAGAAAATTTAGAGCCATTATAAAGTTATTTTCCATGCAAATTCTGCTACTCAATCATTCTTATCCTCCACCACGCTAGCAGCACCACTCTCCTCTCACACTGGCTTTTTAACTGTGACCTTCCCTCTCATTGTTCATCTGTCCCCCGGCCTTCCCTCTGCCTCCACCCCATCTTCCATTTTCAGGCATTTTCAGTCTACAAACCAATCTCCAGCCCAATTCACATCCGATTCTAATCTCGCCTCTATTGCAATGATCATTCCGGCAGCCTCTTGCTCGGGTGGACAGATGCAGAGAAAGAAAAGGGAGGAGACAAAGCCAACGAGACACCACCGTGCCGTTAGTCAGCCTTAATCTTTCAAAAGTGCTATGTCAAGTGTTTCCTGTGCACTCTTGCATACCTTTTAGCTCATTAAAAGTTGCACAAAAGGAGTGGGGTCTATAGATAGAGGGCACAAAGAAGGGAGGAAAAGGGAAGGGCAAAATAAAAAGAAAAACAATACAATTTATTTGAGATGTGCCAAAAATGGAAAATGGAGAAAATGGAAAAGAGGAGCTGAGATGAGATCTTGTGTGCCCCGGTCTTTTCCAATAGCCCACAGTATTGATGCTATTCATCACTTGGCAGGAAGACTGTGGCTGTTCTGCGCATACAAGGGGCCCATACATCAACTTCATCATCCATATAACAAAACAAGCTGGCTGCCACTGTAGGCGGTGAGTTCACTCTTTCTGCCCGTAATAACTGTGTTTCCACTGGGCTCCAAACATTGGGAAGGCCACGCTCACCAGCCAGCCTGGACTCTGCGGTTCCTTCCCGTCAGCAAGGTTACATAAATTCAATTTGTTTACAAGAGCTGCACAGTGGGCCAAACAGCCTGTGGTGTTCACCGTAGTGGCGTGGCACAAGACAGTGGATGCATATTATAGGTAGAGTAATTGGGTCGCAGCAGATGCAAATGCAAAATATAACTCAGGATGAGTGCCTTGGGTGTGCAGGCAGCTCCTTCCAGAGATTATCCCAAAAGTTTCTTGGAAAGTTTTGACTCCTGCAGTGTGTTTAAGTCCTGCTTTAAACATAAGCACCACACAAATGAGTTGTAGGCAGTAACAACGAGGAAACAGAGCAGGAATTTAGCTAAAAAATGAAAAATCCCTCAGTCGTCTTCTTATTTTCTTCATCCACTTTGATACAAAACAAATATCCTTCCAGTGCAGTGACTAATAACATGCAGGGCAGGTACACACATACCCATTACTGCAGCTATGCCAGAAAGACTACAGATGCACCTGCCAACTCTCACTTACAGTACATCCAGGCCTGGATTAAGATGCCTCAGGACCCCCTGCTTTGGGTCTCAGCCAGAGCCTGTAGACCTGACGATCAGCAGAAATTTGTATTTATCAATGGCGCCTCTAATACTACCTCCAACCCTGCTCTCTTAAATGTTCTCTTTTCTTCAGTGTCTCTTCCTTCTTTCTCCAAATCTACAACCTCAAATGTTCTCTTTTTTATTTTCCCACTATTGATTCTCTATAAAGAAACTGTGTCACATTTTTATTCTTTAATCAGACTCAGGGATTACTTGACTGACTTTCTTAAAGGCCCTGAAAATGTTCTTAATTAGCTTCTCTCTATGAGCAATGGGCTGCTACACTGTCACACAAATTTTGGCTGGAATTTTCAGTTTGAAGAATCCTGGGGAAGCTGATTAGCTGAGTTTTTGAGTGTTAAAACTCTTAATAAATAATACCTGAGGATATAATTTTGCCAAACTTGTATTTATTTTCATCTTTTAGTCATGAATATGTACTCTTATTGAGAAAAATACTTTTTGAAACAAAGCTCCAAGCCCATTGGTTCCTACTGAAGACATAACTCTTTAAAAACAGGTCATAAATATACATTTATTCTTATCAGTTATTACCTAAAAAATCTGGGCTCTGTAGTTTTTATCACAAGTTACTCAAAGTGGAGTTAATCATGCATTTGTTAGGGACTGATGAGGGGACATGTCACCTTTGCTTTTGGACATTATCAGAGCTCTTCGGCACAGATGAATGAGACACTGTTTTAGGCTTTGGCTGCACACACAACACTCATTAGTGGGATCAACTCCTTGTTGGTTTTGGTCTGTTCATCGGATTTGGAGATAACAAGGTCCCGTCTACATGTTAGGGCTGTACCTGACTCATAATTACGTCAGTCCAATCAGATGTGGCTATTTAATACGAATATTCAACAGTTCCTTCCTTTATTTTTCATATAGTGTTTGAACAGGGTTTGGCGAGATGTTCAGGCTGACTACAATGTTCGTGTGATTAAGTAAACAAGCCCAGGTAGCGCTCCAAGCTAGTGCATGTAAACGGGTCAGAAATATGCAACATATTTTGCCAACACTAGCGATCAAACAAAAGCCAGAGACTGTATCGTACTGAGTTACTGTGAGCTGGAAATTCACCACTTCTAAGCAGAAGACAGACGATAACATTATGTCGGAGTCTGACCGAGAAGCTTCTCCTTCCCCAGGCACCTGTCTCCATCACACTCAGACTCACCCCGGATCTGAGTCCACCGTACCAAAGAGCACTTTGAAAGCAAGGAGCGCTTACTCTGCAGCTACATCTGGAGACGGAAACTGACACATACTACTGCACACTGACTGACAAGGAAACCGAACCAAACCAAAAACAAAAATAGCGCGCCCCCCCCCCAAAAAAAAAAAAAAAAAAAAACTGCTTGACTTGAAGGAATCTCAGCTGTCTGTGGGGGCTCGGGCTGATGATTTCAAAGTTTCGACTTTCAGGGAGCAACCATGCTTCATGTATACAGTTATATTTGAAAATTTATGTTTTCGTCTACGTCTTGACCTCTTGTCCATTCCCGAACAGATTTTTTTTAGGTCAGCAAAACTGATATTTAGTTTTCAATATTCTGGTTACGTTGTGTCCTTGTGGACATGCAAAACAGAGCGTTTGGGAAAAGATAAGGTCATCTCCTCAATTCAGACATGCCTATTGTTGCTTTGTACAATGGGAATGCACCAAAAACAGTACCAACAATAGCGGACTACAGGTTTATTTAGGTTTTGTTAGCATGGATTGCTCTAAAGACTACTTTATACTTAAACTTAGTCTTGCTGCACCACTTCAGAGATGAACAGAGCACTCTGCTTGGTCCAATTCAGCATCTGCAGTTTATGCTCCCCCCGAAACAACAGTTTTGAATCAGGCTAGAAGATGGTGGGACAGTTTTGATGGTGAGATTGTTGTCAATGAGGAATGGAAGGAAAACTTTCGCATGTCCAGAGCATCGCTCATATCTTTGAGTGAGTTCCTTCGTCTTTATACCGAAGGGGAATCAACCATGATGAGACCTCAGGTGGATGTTAAAGTTAACGTTAGCTTGTACACTTTACAACCTTTGTAAAAAGGGAAGAAGACAGCTAACGCCGGCAAATGCTTGCTTTAGTTCTAGTGTGGACAGAGATATTTTGTAAAACAAAAATCATGTGGACAGAATTTTTATTTTCTATATATAAGGACAATATTTGATTTCAAAAATACTGTGTGTAGACAAAGCCTAGAAACATGTAGAATATCACCAGCCCTATCCTTTCAAAAATGCTTACATAACGATTTTACAAAGGAAGAGTAGAAAACTTAACATCCAGTGTAAAGAATTGAGAATTATAAGGCTCTCTGATACCTTTCTTTGGCTCAACTCTAAAGCATGGTGAGTTTGGGGGAGGTCAGAGAGAAGGTCATGGAATTGTAACTCTCAGAAGATGAGTAGAATTACAGGGTTTTTTTTTTTGCCTGATTTGCAAAATTTAAAAAAAGACAGTTAATACATTTGAGGCAAAGTCAAGAAGGGTCATCTCAAACACTGAGCTATTTCATGTCTAATTCAAAGCGGCCACCAACTGTGGCCTTTCTAGTGCTAAAGTGAATACTGATGAAAGAAGATCAGTTTCAGAGCTATGTGCTTCTCACTTGGCTTCTCCTCTCCGCACTACACAGTCATGACTCACCTAGTGATCAAGTCCCACTTCTGACAGAGCAAGAAGTCTTTCGGCTTTTATATTTTTTACCCATCCATTTCTCAGCCAGCCAATTCCCAAGATTTTTTTCGACAGCTTTTCTCTCTCTCTCTCTCTCTCTCTCTCTCTGTAGCTTTTAGCAACTATGTGCTGCATATATTTGAGGATGCTTAAAGATTGAGGGCTAACTTCAACAGCAAGTTCCCAGCAGTACTTTCTCCAGTCAGGTAGAGTTAGGAAGCTTTCAAAATAACAAGACTGACTGCACTAGAATTAGAGCT